TGTAATCACACAGTTGGCCATTCCCTTTGTATATATTTTGCCGTTAAAGCTCGAGCACTTCAACTGATCACCATAGTTAATCTGGGGATTAGCAGGGTAACGTACACATGAATGGCTTTCGAGCTTTAGCGGTATCATATAGATTCTGTAGAAAGCGGCGAGTTGCAAAATTCTTGGAACCACTGTCTTAGACTTATCTTTCTATTGTTAATATAATATCCGTAAATTGCAACGAAGAGTAGGCAAAAAATGAAATTTAAAAAAATTTCATTATTTTTCGTATTGCTCCAACGAAATAATAAAACTCATAGAAATTATTCCGGCAATTTCAGACTCTAGTGAAACCAATTCTACGTCTTCACTTACATTAAATAATTATAGCGTGTCACGAGTAAAATTCAAATTGTTATATACTTTCTTGAATCCGATCAATGGACTTCAGACCAACAAGAAAAATGTCGAAATTATTTGTGTCGTTTTTATCAAGCAAATTGAGAAGACGTGAAACAGTTTTTCTGATATCGTATTTATTTCCCGAAAACGATCTGTCAAGTTGGAGGATAAAAAATCTTCAAATTATACGAAAAAGTACAATTGTTCAAGAAATAAATTATGTCATTCTCAGTTTCATCGTATACCTCCATTGTCTTATAAAAATAAAAATATAATTCTTTGACTTCATAAAGCTTCAACAGCTCGTGAAAATAAATAAAGAATTTCCAAAATATCACTTTCGAATAAAAACAAAACTGCTCCCAATTTGGTTTCAACTTGAGTGTGTTGTGAACGCAAAGCAAGAGTTGAGGTGGGAACATTTGTTCCTCTAAATATGTTAAAAACTGTTTGGTTAAAGGTTTATCCTTATAAAATGCCAATAGAAACAATAATTCAATTTCTAAAATACAAACTGGAAATAAATCATTTCCGATATACAGCAATAAAGCTGATAGAAATTCGTTAAAGGTGCGATACAGAAAACTACATTCAATTGTATTATCTCATTCAGAAAATGAATCGACAATGAGAATTTCCAGTCCAATGATAAAATTGTATTCATCTTCTTTCGGAAAATAATTCCTCAAGATTTCTGAGGTGATATTTTCTACTTTTACCAATTTCAGTAGCAAATTTTCTTCCACAAAATACTTTACTCTTTTAAAACTTTTCCGCTGATTTGTTTTTCTAACATAACGATCAATTATAAGAGTAAATATTCTGATGTATAAATCAGTCATCGTTTCAAGTTTTTCTATTTCTCCATTCTGATAAAGGCAACACTAACATATGCAGCATCGGAGGACATTCTGATATTTCTTTGTAAAATTCGATTTCTTTCAGTGCACAAGAGAGTTCCTTGGCTTTACTTTCGTCTTCTCTAAACATTAATTGAATGTATTTTTCTTGATATTCTGGAGAAAATCCCTCTAACGAAAGTCGCATGTTCATGTCTTCCCCCGCTTGAGGTCGACTGATAACCATAACCGTCATATAATAAGTAATATAAAAATATTCTTCTCTTATAAATTCTAGAATTTTAGATTTTTCTACAATTTCATCTGATCCATCCAAAATCACTAAAATATTAATTGGCCAAGTGATAACAATTGGAAATTTTTATCACTTGGCCAATTAATATTTATAAATGGAAATTTTATATTTAATATTTATAAATGGAAATTTATATAATACAATTAATATTTATAAATAGAAATTTTTATACTTGCCAAGTGATAAAAATCGGAAATTTTTATCACTTGGCAAGTATTAAAGCATATTATCGAGTAATGCATCTTTTACACTTCTATCGCCTAATTCTCGTAAAATTACAATAAAAGTTAAATCAAAGTGTTTGAGATAATTCGCGGTTGCCCAATCGTACACAATTTTCTTGAACAGAGTAGATTTGCCATAACCGGGACCCCCCCTGTCATTAAATAGTTTGGTGTCATTTGGTGTCCGTCTTTTTCAATGGAAAACATCTCATTTAGGCTTATTTCCTCTCCGCTATTGTTTCCAAATAAATCAGCCTTCTCTACAGTCAATTCTACGAAATAATCCTTTAATGGAAAATCTTTCGTTTTGCCTTCCCACAAAAATGATCTCATGTAGGAAAAGTAAGTCTTGTATTTGTTTTTCAACATCTGGCAACAACTCTTGAACATTGCTGTAAGAAATAAAAACATACTTATTAAAATATCGTGTTAGTTATTTTCATTATATTTTCGTATTAGGAATAATAGGAAACTTTCGGCCATATTTGTGGTTTCATTTATGGTCGAATGCATCAAAGCATTAGTAATTACAGCGGGTTGTAAAACCGTATTTATGTAAAACTAGGCACAGTTCGTTTTCTAACTGAGAAGGGAGATTATCTACGATCGCTATAAAAAAATTTTTTATATAGAAATTATGCGAAAGCTCCGGCTACTTTTCTTGTATATACAGTATTTATGTTATGCGAAGGGTTACCTTTTTCCAGTAGTGATTTAATACAGTCGATTCTTTACATCAATGACAATACTTTACTTAGCATGGCCTGCTCTAGGGGCTGGCAACTCAGACATTTCTCTGGAGCGTCAAAGTTTAGGCGCGCCATTTTGGCTGTAAGTGTGAGAAAAATATTGATGTGTTAAATACTCAATTATTAAAAAATTTTACATATCGATTATTTCGTTCTTTAAAAATTTACAGTGCGTATCGTATTTATATTGTTTATGTCTAAAAGCTAAAAATTCTTACAGTATTGTTGAAAAATTAATGCAGAATTTGTAAAGGACGATGTTTGAACTTGTTGTAACATGCATAGACTCGCTTATACTTATCTCTAATTATAAAAGAGCGGTTTCATTACACAATAGCACCATTATTGCTATTACGTCCGTAGTGATAAGAAGTGGCAGTTCATAAAATTTACTTAAGTGCGATTTCTTAATTTTTAAAGGTAAGTATATCGATAACTGAGCTGTTGTTTAGTTTGATAGATACAGAGGTTGCGGCCGAACCTTACATCTTTAAAACGTGAACGCCGAACGTCAAGCGCCGCTATCTTGTAAGCGGCGCTCGACGTTCGACGTTCACGCTTTACAGATGAAAACATCGATCGCGATTTCTCTATTGAAACCTAAATTCGAAGTTTTGTGTTATGCGAAACGAAACGTAAATATAATATTTTGTATATAAACTCGTTGAAATTATTATTACTGACATCCGGTATATTTAATAGAAGTCATAGTATGCGCCTGTAGTAAGATCTACTTAAAAAAGAAGACAATTCGTGGAACGTGTGCAGATTTTTCAATGAATAAAGATAATCAATTTGTGTATTGTGTGTGCAGTGTTGGCTGTATTGTAACTTCCAGCTAAGGCGAAACTGATTTTTGTTGTTAAGAAATATATATTTCATGCTTTTTTTACGTACGAAGATCTGGTCACAGAAACTGGATTTAAAATAAGTGGAAAAATACTCAAAAAATACAAATATTTCTGTTCAAATTACAAAACGCTTTTTGTGCATACATAACAATACTAAGTCTATTCTACTTATTAAAAAAATGAGTCATTAATGTTAACTAATAATGTGAAAAGAAAGTAAAATCTAAACGACATGATGACTCAAAGATATCGAAAAGTTCCCGGGCCATCCTCATTTATCAAATAAGGTGTAAAAAGCATAACAGAATACATGTTGTTGAAAAGCTGGCTTACAGAAAAGCTGTACCAGCGCTGAAAAACGGCGTGTCTTCGATTAAGGGGATTAGTTTGAATGTGATAGTGCGCTGGTATTTGAAACTATTCAAATAAGCAATTATAAGCTATCCTCGAACTTCTTTAAATCAAAAATTTTCTCCTGAATACTGCTTGTTAGATGACCAATACGAATATATTGTTAAAGGGAAAGTATGATGTGCAGGTGCAGGCAACTACTTGTTTGTGGTGGCGAGCATATATATATATATATAAATTTAATTAAATAAATTAAAAATATGATTAAAAATTGCAGCTCGTCATCACAATAAATGATTGTTAAACATATACCACGTATATCTGATCTCGTTGTATTAACTAACCTTTATTAGTATCGTGGTTCCTGATACTCATAACTAATCTTTCATTCTAACTGATGTTAGGAAGCTCACTAATTTGTATTATGTTCAGAAATTCTATTGGTTATCTCATGCATTATTCTGATCATTGGAAACTGTGTTGTCTAAGTTCATATATTAACTCTTGTACAAAGAGGAGAGCAAAAATTTCATCACATGTCTGCATAGTAATACTTTGAACTTAAAATGGCTTGACACTTCATTTCATCGAATGTTAGTGATTGTTTTTTGTACTAAATGTTTTTTTGTATAAAATCACCTTCACGCAGAATTTCTTGTGTAAAATGATCATGGTTACCTCTTGTTCCTGCTACTCTACTCTGTCTTCTTTCTTTGAGGACGAGCAAAAGGATTTATTTCTATAATCCGAGATTCCGAGATTCGTCTCATGTCTAGCACATAAATAAATGTCGACTTTCCGTTATTACGCTACACGTAAGAAATGATTCAAAATATTCCTTTCAGATTGCTCAAGTGTTAAGTTCCTTATTCCATCAACTTAATCTAAACATATTTTTATTGGAAACAAATTCTCAAATTATTCATAACACATCGCTATTATAATTGTACGTAATAGTGAGTTTATGATCTGAAAGACAGATTTAATTATATTAACTACTTCATCTTTATTAGCTTGTTGCTCCTGAAAATGTTTGGCTGCCAAAGCATATATTCGTCATTCCTTGTTGTACATTACAAGCTCAATCCAGTCGTAAACATTTAATTTTCTACTGTTAGAAAGCACGTATACAATATTCTAACTCATTAAAAAATAATATTAAAACACCTGGAATACTTTAAACCGTCAAAGCAAATTCAAGAATTATTGATCTTCGTTAACACAAGCCCATTAATTGAGTATAAGAAAAATTTACGAGTGCATTATCAATGATAACACTATGTGCATCCAAAAGGCATGGATGCTCGGCGTTTTTGATACGCTCTTGAACAGAGCGAATTTATCGAGATTATTGTAGGAATAAGAAGTAATGCGTGAAATACTGATTGCAGTACAATTATGAAAACGATTTTAACGAAAGTAGTGTATACAAATGTATTATAATAGGCGATGACTAACAATACTAATCCAGTAGAAATTGCCCCTTGAATTAACGGGAAACCTACGTGATATAAACTATCCTTTAACTTTTCTTCAGTCGTTACTTGTGCTGAAGTAATGAAAGAATAGCATATATGAGTGGGATAATTAACACAAAACCCGATGCAGAGAGTCAAGCTAATCAAAGACACGATATCTAGATTGATTGCCCATAAAGACATGAATCCAATCGTCTGCACGGTGATGGACACGACACAGATAGCGACGATAACAGCGCAATGCAAATTCGGAATTAAAGAAATAAAAATTCCAAAGATTAACAAGGAAGTGATCCAAAACAGTTGAAACGTTATCTGTCTGATAACGATTCCTTGCTCGGCCATAGGAGTTATTACTGTATGGATTACAACAGAAAATGGCGCTTCTTCGGCTATTCTCGATAAATCGTTTACTATTTTGAATTCCGTTACTCTGTCCGAAACATTTTTCGCTAAAAAAAAGAAACGACTGGCGACAATATCAGTGTAATTGTGATTGAAGATAATGTCATTCTCAAATTGCTTGGTTTCTAAAAATTTCAAGAAGACGTTTCTAAGAGCATCCATGAAATCCTGTTTCTGAGACAGATCGTAACCCCTTAAAGAATATTTCGAAATAGAATGATTTTCAAATACCTTATAATATTTTAACCAAGAAAATTCGTACTCGTATCCGGCTATATTTTCAATAGTGTGAAATTTTTTCATAAAATCATTAACTGACTCTTGAACTCGTGGATTAGAATAATCTAAAGTTTCGTTAATTACGACGTGCACCGTGAAAGGGTATTGGGTAAAATATTCATAGAAAACATGAAATCCCTGTGTAATTTCAGAACTGTCTGAATTGAATTTGTACACATTCAGCCCCTCCTTTAAGGACATAACACCGCATATACCTATTGACAATAATATAAAATACAACAAGATAATAAGAATTTGTGATACAGGATGCAAAATAAAATCTGAAAATGTATCTCTGAAGAACTTCATAAAACAGTCCTTACTTTCTTCTTTGTAACAGTCAGTTTGTCCAATAGTTTCTGTAAAATGAAAATATATTCTATAGATGAATATAGTTCATTTGTATGATATTGTATAACAATAAATTAATTTTATGATTTAAAGTATGATTGAAACTATAATAATTTAAAGCAGAAATTTCAGAAATTTTACTAAACAATTAAAACTAGTTTTTCACTTTAACGGATAAAAAGTATAACAGTAACAACATAGAAATAAAAATAATTAAAATCTATTACTTTAAATGTTGAATATTACATTAGTTTCGAATATTCGTTACAATGACAACTGTAAAATCAAGGTTGAATAGTATATAGTCTTACATATTTTTGTATATTCTTCATGTTCACTATATATGTTTTTAGAATATAAACATAGTAATGAAATGAAAATTTTGAATTTAAAAAAATTCCAATGAGTTAAGAATCATTAAGCGAAATTTTTCAAAAAACAATACAGAACACTAGCAGATGAGCAAAAATAACAAGAAACATTAAGATTATTAGATTCTTTCGTACTTCTAACGCTTGCATTATATTATAATATAGTATTTGATTTATAAACAGAAAAATTGTACGCCTGTATCCATTGTTCACTGTAACAAAAGCCTCTTTGAAAGTTGTCGATTTTAGGATCTCACAATCTAGCAGAGGATGAAAAGAAATTTTTGGACATACTCAAAATATCAATTCAAAGTGAGTACATATGTTAATGAGAAAACCGAATTTTTTCTCAGTTCTACTAAAATTAGACACGTCTTAATTGCAAATACAGTGGAACCTCGTTATACGACCTTAATCCGTTTCCGATGTTTGGACTTATACCAAATTGGACATATACCGAATTGGACATATACCAAACCAACCTTTCCCATAAGAAGTAATGTAAAAATGATTAATCCGTTTTCGTGTAAAAAAATGGCTTGCTTTAAACACCTCGCTTTCCTGGCTAGTTTCTGCTTGATTTTTCGTGAGATCAGCGTGTATCTTTTTAGCTTTCTCGCAAATAATTGCTTCCGATGCGCTGTCTCCAGCACTGTTTTTCAGTAATCCAAAGCAAAAGCAATTTCTCGACATGATCTAATGTCTTTGATCTCTGTTTATAAATTTATTTAACCTCTTTTGCAACGTTAGCAGATTTAATAATGACTTTATTTTTCGCGATTGTCCATATCGTCGTTCTCGGAATACGATAGGCAACAGTTAAAATCTCGAACACGCGTGCCACCTTCGTATTTCTCAACAATCTCTTTTATCAGTTCCATTGTAATTATAGTCATTTTTTAGTTTTCTGTCGCTTTTCATTTGCCTTTTTGCGATTCGTGATTAAAAAAAATAATAAAATTTTACTTACGAATTAAAATCAGAAGATATTTAACAAAGTTATAAACTATTGTACCGCCAACGTCTAGTCTGGTCTAGTACACCGATAGTGCTACTTGTTCATTGATGGCGCGTATAATTGTATTATGTCGTACACCGAACAAAAGTCGTATACCGAGCAAAATTTGTTATGTCCAAACAGGACGTATTCCGAATTGGACGTATTCTAAAGCAGACGTATACCGAGGTACCACTGTATTTAATAATATGGGTTTTATATAAAGTTTTATATAATTTATTAAGGTACAGGTAACCCCAGTATAACACGGTACTTCTATAGCACGGATTCACTCTAACACGGTTCGAGAATTGGTACCATCCCCCGTATAACACGGCACTTCTATAGCACGGATTCACTCTAACACGGTTCGAGAATTGGTACCATCCCCCGTATAACACAGTACTTTTATAGCACGGATTCACTCTGACACGGTTCGAGAAATGAGTAAAACCCTCGTACAACATGAAATGTAATAAATTTTTACATACTTAAGTACTAATAGTTCACGAAAATTATTATTATCGTGAACTATTAGTACTTCAGTGTGGAAATTTTCTTTTCTCGTCTCCATACACATGGTCCTTGGCGAAAATTGTTTCAATGGTTGCCAGATTGCGATACTTCTGCTTCTGATGTTGCCGAATGTTTTTCCCTTATTCCATACTTGCTTTATTCTTCATAAGTGCTTAGCACCATATAAGGAAATTTATAAAGACCTTTTAACTAGAAGCAAGCAATCTAAAATTACATAC